GGTCATGTCTGGGCAGCTGATTGAACCACTTAAGTGTCTAACTAAGTACCGCTTCCTGCCTCATGGACATTTTGCCCACATTACACTGCTATTTGGGGAGATCATCATGTAAATCTTGTCAGCAGGAATCTAATTTCCATGTCTGTCATTTTCCAGATCATTTGCCAGTTGCAGGTGCAAAGTGCGTCCTCTTCGTATCCAGAGTTGCACTTAAACATAGCTTATACCAAGATATCTTGACCAGGAGGCCAAAGTTAAAATCCCACCTGTTCCAGAGAAATATAATAACAACTTTGAACAGGTTGATTGCAAATCAAGACATCTGTCAGAGTTTGTGGAAGAAAAATTTCATTAGCACTGTGCCTCAAATGATTGAATAGATCTAAACACAGGCACTGTGGAATGCCCTTAAGTAAGTAAAAGGCCCCCTCTAAGATGAAAATTGCTACTTTTTTTTTAAACAGCCATGACGTGGAGGTGCCCAGTGTTGGACTGGGGTGGACAAGGTCAGAAATCACACAACACCAGGTTATAATTCAACAGGTTTATTTGAAAACACAAGCTTTCAGAGCCTCGCTTCTCCTTCAGGTGTTAGTGAGGTGGTATCAGGCATAGAATTTATAAGTAAAAGATCAAAGGGTCACATCACTGATGAAGATGTATTAAATCTAAATAAGGCCTCACACCTAACATGCATTGTCTGACCTAAAATGTCACCTCTTCTTTACACTGATAAAACCTTTAGTTCTCTCAGGGCAGTGACTTGAAAGGAATTCAGGGATTTACATTTACATATTAATCAATTAAAACCTTCTTACTGATTAAAGATTTAACAGCATCTTAGGTTTGTTTAATACATCCTCAATCGTGGTGTGACCCGATTGATACCCATTACAAGCCAAGATACGCTTCATCCATCTGGCCTGCGCTGTGTTTTCTCTTCACTTAAGTCTAGTCGAATCCCACACTTCTCCATTTCCTAAATCCTTTCATGTTGTCCTTTTTGAGCAGTTATCTAATTGGCTAGTTTGAACTCTGTATCAACAATGATTTGTCAAAGGCACTTCCACCTTCTAACTATCTTCTCTGTAAACAAATGCTTTTTAATTCTTCCTTTTAATTATTTTTGAAATTATCTAAGGACAAAAAGTGAGAGGCCATAAATGTGTTGACTAGTTAAGACACATCCATTTCTATTTATCTTACAATGACACTTTGTAATTTGGAATATCTCTATCACTCCTTTCCTTGAACTTCTTACCATCAGTGGACAAAGAGGAACTAATTTCTAAATTCCCTCTTCATTTCTACAGCACTTCATTGCCAGTAACACCCTTAGTTATCTGTACCACAACAATTGTGTATGTGGATAGACAGACTGTTCAGGCCTTCAAGAAAGTGTCAAGCTAAAATTTCATGCTTCGTGAAAAAGTTAACATTATCATAATTTGACAAATGAAAACTGTATAGTTGGACTTGTGCTTCTCAATATCTGCTGGGGTATTGCACCAAGTATTAGCAATATTATTGATGAACTTGCAACAGGTTTCAGCATTTGGTCTTTTTCCTTTCGAGTTTAGTCTGACCAGGCTGTCCTTTGATTTTCTTTATTTGTATTGGTGGAATTTTTTTTTTTTTTTGCATTTGAATCTTATTGTGACGTTTCTAATTGGAAAATACCTGTATAGCTTTTGGTCTGCCAGCTCTCATCCAAATAAACCTTGAAACATATAGCCTGCCTTTCCCAATTAGACCAAATGACAATTTTTATGTGGCATCTTAAATATAAGGTGACATCTCAGAGCACTTAACGTGGGCACAGTCAAAAAATAGGCATCAAAGAAAGGAAGACTAAGGAAAAGCTTGCCAAAGAACGAGGTTTTAAGGAGGCCAGCATACTGGAGGGGTTGACTGAAGATTCTCCAGACTATGATGCTTGGACATCCTAAGGCTTTTAAGATTACAGCCGAAGGGACATGAGGCATGCAAAGCGGTCAAATTAATATGGAGCTGAGTCAACAAGGTGCAGGGCTGGATGAACCCAGCAGGCCAAGCAGCATCATAGGAGCAGAAAGGCTGACGTTTCGGGCCTTGACCCTTCATCAAAAAAGGGGGAAGGGAAGGGGGTTCTGAAATAAATAGGGAGAGAGTGGGAGGCGGATAGAAGATGGATAGAGGAGAAGATAGGTGGAGAGGAAACAAACAGGTCGAAGAGGCGGGGATGGAGCCAGTAAAGGTGAGTGTAGGTGGGGAGTTAGGGAGGGGATAGGTCAGTCCAGGGAGGATGGACAGGTCAAGGGGGCGGGATGAGGTTAGTCGGTAGGAGATGGGGGTGCGGCTTGAGGCGGGAGGAGGGGATAGGTGGGAGGAAGGACAGGTTAGGGAGGCGGGGACGAGCTGGACTGGTTTTGGGATGCGGTGGGGGAGGGGAGGTTTTGAAACTTGTGAAATCCACATTGATACCATTGGGCTGCAGGGTTCCCAAGCGGAATATGAGTTGCTGTTCCTGCAACCTTCGGGTGGCATCGTTGTGGCACTGCAGGAGGCCCAGGATGGACATGTCGTCTGAGGAATGGGAGGGGGAGTTGAAATGGTTCGCGACTGGGCGGTGCAGTTGTTTATTGTGAACCAAGCGTAGGTGTTCTGCAAAGCGGTCCCCGAGACTCCGCTTGGTTTCCCCGATGTAGAGGAAGCCACACCGGGTACAGCGAATGCAGTATACTACATTGGCAGATGTGCAGGTGAACATCTACTTGATGTGGAAAGTCTTCTTGGGGCCTGGGATGGGGGTGAGGGAGGAGGTATGGGGGCAGGTGTAGCACTTCCTGCGGTTGCAGGGAAAAGTGCCGGGTGTGGTGGGGCTGGAGGGGAGTGTGGAGCGGACAAGGCAGTCACGGAGAGAGTGGTCCCTCCGGAAAGCAGTTAAGGGTGGGGAGGGAAAGATGTCTTTGGTAGTGGGGTCGGATTGCAGATGGTGGAAATGTCATAGGATGATGCGTTGGATCCGGAGGTTGGTGGGGTGGTACGTGAGGACGAGGGGGATTCTTTTTTGGTTCTTATTGCGTGGACGGGGTGTGAGGGATGAGTTGCAGGAGATGTGGGAGACACGGTTGAGGGCGTTCTCGACCACTGAGGGGGGGAAGTTACAGTCCTTGAAAAACGAGGACAACCGAGATGTACGGGAGTGGAATGCCTCATCCTGGGAGCAGATGAGGCGGAGGCGAAGGAATTGGGAACAGGGGATAGCATTTTTGCAGGAAGGTGGGTGGGAGGAGGAGTATTCTAGGTAGCTGTGGGAGTCAGTGGGCTTGAAATGAATATCGGTTTCTAGGTGGTTGCCCGATATGGAGACAGAGAGGTCCAGGAAGGGGAGAAAGGTATTAGAGATGGTCCAGGTAAACTTAAGGTTGAGGTGGAAGGTGGTTGGTTTTTAATGTTAGTAGAGATCATGGGCTAGATAAGGCTGCAGAGTTATGAAGGAATGAACAATGAAGAGGTTTAAATATGATCATGAAAGATTTGAGTTGCTGGGGAGATGGGAGGGCAAACATTCTAGTTTGGCAAGAGGTGATGGTTGTAAGATATTGGGTCTCTAAGTGTTTAGACAAGGAATTATTTAAAGCAAACCTCCAATGTAATGAAAATATGGGAGTTGTACATGAGGCTGGAGTCACAGCCAAGTAAGATTGGGGATGGGTTAGTCATAGGCATGAATGAGGGCATGAAAGAATATAAATATAGATGCATTGTCTGTGAAAAATTGTGTGATTAAAAAATCTACAGAAGGACCTTTCTCCTTCATTGTTTAGACCTGTCCCATGAGTTCCATGGTTCATCCATGCACTCTTTACTAAGTTTATCACTATGTTTGCTGAACCTCCCAAATGCAGAAACCCATAGTGTAAACATCTGCTCATGCGTTTTAAAAAATACTTGAAAATGCTGAGATTTTGAAACGAAAACAGTAAAAGGCAAGAAGTACCTCGGGTGACTGTCTGTCTGTGTGGAGTTTGCACATTCTCCTCATGTCTGTATGGGTTTCCTCAGGGTGCTCCTGTTTCCTCCCGCAATCCAAAGATGTGCAGCTTAAGTGAATTGGTCATGCCAAAATGCCCCGTAGTATCCAAGGATGGGCAGGGTAGGTGTATTCGCCATGGGAAATGCAGGATTACAGGGATAGGGTAGGACAGTGGGCCTGGGTGGGGTGCTCTTCAGGGGGTCGGTGTGGACTTGTTGGGCTGAATGGCCTGCTTCCACATTGAAGGGATTCAATGATACTATGAAATGCTGAACAGATCCATTATTGTTTATGAAGAAAGACTGACAATTCAAATTCTCATCTTTATTTAGAACTGAAAAACAAATCATTTTAAAAATTTATTGCTAAAGTCAATGAAAGGGGTTGGTAAAAGCAGGGCGAAGTGCACATAAACTAAAACAGGAAAACAACTGTGAATGGAACCATGAAAATGCTCCAGTTGCTAAAACGAGTGCCATTTTAATCTATCTAATTGGGTATTACCAGTGGTCACTTTAATGCGGATTTTAGAGTATTCTTCATAGCAATTGTAGCGATAAACATTTAAATCTTAATTTCAGCTAAATTTTCCATAATGCAATTGAAGGATTTCAGTTGTAAATTTTGTTGAAATGAAAGTTCACATTAACCGTGTAAAGCTGTAGTAACTTAGCTTTTGCGTGTATCTTTGTAGTATGTATGTGCTGAAGGATGGCATGGTTACTGTCACTGATGGCTGTCTTGCTAACCTAGTAACAATGGGGCAACTCAGAGGGTGATTGAGAGATAACGTTACAATCCATAATAATATGTCTTGTCATCTTGTTAATTTGAGCGCACAAGCAATTGTTATATTCAATAATGATTGTGTCCAGTGTATGCCTAATACATCTCAAAATACACTCCTGTTGATTGTACTATACATGTCTTCTCTGATTTCCCAATCATCAGTGGATGAAATGTACCTTTTTATGTATTTCAGTGACTATTTCCACGAGCACATACTTTGATGGCTTACTGGTCACAGGTCTCTATACATCAACAAGCATCCAAACCCCACATAGTGTCAGTGGACCTGGCTCATTTGGCCTTGGTAAGTCTCATCACCTAAACTTCAATTATTTTAAATCATGCATCAAAATGAAACTTTTATGAACAATTGAGGAAATTCAAAGAAATAGATACTGAGTACTGGAAAATGGCTTATCTCCTATAGCTGTCTTTATAATCTAACATGATTCTTTCCCAAGAAAATTAAACTCTAAAGCATGAGGGAGAAATTGATAGTTGACACACAGAAAGGAACACTAAGCTATTATAAAGAACAGACTGCTTTACTAAAGAACATTTCCTTAGGCCATGAGAACAACCCTAATGCACAATGGCAAGTTCTTTGCTGAATACTTATTTTAATATTAGGGATACTGAACGTATGACACAATGTACACTATAGGTAGACTAGTTCATGTAAGCCAGTAATTTCACTTAGTTCTCAATGCTGGTCAGTAGTTACAATATCAAAATTGGAATGTTCGTTTGAAGGCAACATTACATCTGTTATCTTACCCTGAGTTCTCTAAGGTTTTGGAGTAGATCTGTAGCTCGGGTTGTGGGTGTTGAGGTTGGTTGGCTCGCCGAGCTGGTTTGTTGTTCCGCAGACGTTTCGTTACCGTGCTTGGTAACATCCCCAGTGCAGCCTCTGATGAAGCGTTGGTGTGTTTTCCTGCCTGGTTTTTAAACTCTGGGGTCCATTACGATGGATTGCCTCACTTCCGGGTTTCCTCTGTAGTGGAATGTATATGGGGTCGAGTTCAATGTGTTTATTAATAGCATGCTTCGTGGAGTGGCATGCTTCCAGGAATTCTCGTGCTTGTTTCTGCCTAGCTTGTCCCAGGATCTTGGTGTTGTCCCAGTGGAAGTCGTGGTTCACCTTGCCCATGTGGATTGAGATGAGTGAGTATTGATCGTGTCTTTTTGTAGCCAGTTGGTGTTCATGTACTCTTGTTGTTAGTTTCCTTCCTGTTTGTCCGATGTAGTGTTTCTCGCAGTCTCTGCAGGGGATCTTGTAGATGACATTGGTCCTGTCCATGGCGGGGAGTGGGTCTTTAGTTCGGGTGAGCACTTGTCGTAGGGTTGATGTGGGCTTGTGTGCCACTCTGATGCCCAGCGGTCGTCGAAGTCTTGTGGTGAGTTCTGACGTGTTCCTGATGTAGGGTAGTGTGATAAGTGTGTCAGGGCGTGTAGAATCTTTCTGATGCTGTTCCTCTAGGCATCTCCTGACCCAGTTCTTTGGATATCCATTATCCTTGAATACTTAGAAGAGGTATTCCTCTTCCTCTTGGCGTAGTTCCATGTTGCTGCAGTGTGTTGTTGCCCTTTTAAATAGTGTTCGCACGCAGCTTCGTTTTTGTGTGCTGGGGTGGTTACTATTGAAGTTCAATACCTGGTCTGCATGTGTGGCTTTTCGGTGTACTTTCATTTGCAGTTCCCCATTTGTCTTGCGCTGTACCACGACGTCCAGGAATGGGAGTTGTTTGTCGTTCTCCTCCTCTCGGGTGAATTTTATTCTGGTGAGGGTGTTGTTTATGAGTTTGTGTGTCTCTTCTAATTTGGTCCATTTAATGATGACAAAGGTGTCGTCTACGTAGCGTATCCATAGTTTAGGTTGGATTTGCGGAAGGGCCGTCCTTTCCGGTCTTTGCATCACTGCTTCTGCTATGAGTCCGGAGATAGGTGATCCCATGGGTGTCCCGTTGATTTGCTCGTATGTTTGGCCGTTGAAGGTGAAGTGGGTGGTCAGGCATAGGTCCAGTAGTTTAAGCATGTTGTCCTTGGAGATGGTTTCACTGGGGTTGTGTTCTGTTCAAGTAGTGTTGTCATTGTTTCCCTTGCTAGTGGTATGTCGATTGATGTGAATAGGGCGGTGACATCAAACGATATCATGGTCTCTTCATCCTCTATCTTTATGCCTTTGATGAAGTTGAGGAATTCTTGGGCTGAGTGGATGGAGTGGGGTGATTTGTTGACTAGGTGCTTGAGTCTTCTTTGTAGTTCCCTGGCTAATCTGTGTGATGGAGTGCCTGGTAGGGAGACTATGGGTCTGAGGGGGACTTCCGGCTTGTGCACTTTAGGGAGGCCGTAGAATCGGGGTGTGTTAGTTCCTTCGGGTTTCATTCTTAAGAAGTCTGTTTTGTTGATCTGTCCTGTTTGTTTGAGTCTTTGTAACGTGTATAGGATTTTGTTACCTAGTTGTGGTGTCGGGTCAGTTTGTACTGGTCGGTATGTGTTCTCGTTGGCGAGCAGTGCTTGTGCTTTGGAGATGTAGTCCTTTTTATTCATTGACACTGTCATGCGCCCTTTGTCTGCAGGTAGTATAGTGATGTTCTTGTTCTTCTTTAATCTGTCCAGGGCTTGTCTTTCCCATGTGTTGAGTTCCCTCTTTCTAGTTAGTGTTGGGACTACTGTCTGTCTTATAGTTTGTCGTGTTTCTTCGTTGATATTGTTGGTCTTGAGTGTGGCTTCCAGTGTAGCTAGCCATTCCGTTTTGTTGGCGTCCCTGTAGGAAACCTGGAAGTGAGGCAATCCATCGCAACGGACCCCAAATTTTAAAAACCAGGCGGGAAAACACACCGACGCTTCAACAGAGGCTGAACTGAGGATGTTACCAAGCACGGTTACGAAATGTCTGCGGAACAACAAACCAGCTCGGCGAGCCAACCAACCTCAACAAATTGCCCTGAGTTCTTTCATTGGAGAGTCTCACCAGACTTAGCTGATATAAACAACAGAACTTGATTCTAGATAGACAAACAGGAGGCTGGAGCAGCATTTGGAGGAAAGAGGCAAGTCAACATTTCAGGTAATACCCTTCTTTAGGACTGGATTTGGGGGTAGGGGAAGCTGCAGATAGAGAGGGGCATGGAGGAGTGGAGGTATAATGGTGGTGATAGGTGGACCCTGGTAGTAGGTACGACCTGGTTGGTCGATGGGGGCGCTGAATCCGGTTGGTGGAATGGAAGGGAGGAGGTGGGGCTGGATGGGGAGGCGGGGCATGGGGGTGGGAACGTTATTTGAAATTGGAGAAGTCAATATTGAGTACTTCGGGCTGTAGGGTGACCAGACAGAAGATAAGGTATTGTTCTTCAAATTTGCGTTGTGAGTTGCTGTGACACTCGAGGAAGCTGAGGTCGGACCTGTTGGTGGGGGAGTGGGACGGGGAGTTGAAATGGGTGGTGACCGAGAGGACAGGTTGGACGTTACTAGCCAGGCGAAGATGTTAACCGAAATGGTCACCTAGTCTACATTTGGTCTCGCTGATGTAGAGAAGACCACATTGGGATCACCGGATGCAATAGACTAGGTTGGAGGAGTTGCAGGTGGCATGGACCCCAGCTATGCCTGCCTGTTTGTAGGGTATGTACACCAGCACTGTTCCCCAACTCTTCCGCCGTTGCATCGGTGCTGCATCCTGCACCCAGGCTGAACTGGAGCAGTTCATTGACTTCCCAAACAACTTCCACCCTGCCCTCGAATTTCACTTGCTCTATCTCAGACACCTCCATCCCCTTTCTTGACTTCTCCGTTTCCATTTCTGGCAACAATTTACAGACCGACATTTACTATAAACCCACAGACTCCCATAGCTACCGAGACTACACCTCCTCCACCCTGTATTCTGCAAAAACTCCGTCCCGTTTTCCCAATTCCTCCCTCCCCATTGCATCTGCTCTGACAAGGAGACATTCCACTGCCAAGCTTCCCAGATGTCTGCCTTATTCAAGCAACGCTCTTCCCAACCCCCCTCCCCCTTTACCCCCCGTCATCCAGACAGCCCTCCACCATGCCTCCTCCATTCCCTGCTCCACAGCTCTTAACCAGCAACCCCCCACAAACAGAATAAAGATTGGGTCTCTCTTGACCTCACTTTCCGCACCAGCCTCCGCATCCAACATATCATTCTCAAACACTTCCGCCAAATCCAATTAGACCCCGCTACCCGTTACATCTTCCACTCCCCACTCCTCTCTGCCTTCCACAAGAACCATTTCCTTCACCACTCCTTCGTTTGCTTCACACTCCCCACCATCCACTCCAACCCACCCGGTACCTTCCCCTGTAACCGTTAAAGATGCAACACCTGCCCACACACCACCTCCCTCACCTCCATTCAGGGCCGTAAACAGCCCTTCCAAGTGAGACAGAGCTTCACCTGCATCTCCTGCAACTTAGTCCATTGCATCCGGTACTCTCGATGTGGTCTTCTCTACGTCGGTGTGACCAAACGTAGACTAGGTGACCGTTTCGCTGAACTGCTTCGCCTGGCCTGTAATGGCGAGCGTAACCTCCCATTTCAACTTCCTGTCCCACTCCCCCACCAACATGTCCGTCATCGGCCTCCTCCAGTATCGCAGCGACTCGCAACAAAAATTTGAAGAGCAACACCTTATCTTCCACCTGGGCACCCTACAGTCTGAAGAACTCAACGTTGAGTCTCCAATTTCAAATAACCTTCCCACACATGCCCCGGCTCCCCTTCCAGCCCCACCTCTTCCCTTCCATTCCACCTACTGACCCTCCCTTCCAGCCACCAACTGGATTCATCCCTCCCATCATCCAGCCAGGTTCTACCTACTACCAGGGTCCACCTATCACCACCTTTCTGCTTCCACCCCTCCCGTTCCTCTCTTTATCTGCAGCTCCACCTACCCCCATATCCAGTCCTGAAGAAGGGTAATACCCGAAACATTGCTCCTTTCCTCCAAATGCTGCCTGGCTGCTATGTTGTTCAAGCCTTCTATTTGTCTACCTTAGATTCCAGCATCTGCAGAACGTGATTCTAGCTTTTCAAATATTAACCAACCAGAGACGATGACCATGTTTGTTAAACTATCTACATCCGCATTGCCCCACTTCTAACTGTGTACTTGCATATGTTGTGAGGAGGGGAGGGCAGGGGAATTGTCGCACTTCTAACTGTGGGCATGAGTATCAAAGGAGGGGATGGTGTTGGTGGGTATTGTTGAAAGAAGTTATGTTGAAGGGCGAATCACTCTGACCTGTTTTTGCATGTGCTTTATCTATCCAAGATGATGT